CACTTTCGCATTCTTTGTGGTACCTTCTGCATAGATTTATGGCCAGGGCTTTTTTTGTAGAAAAAGCCCAGCAGGAAGTCATTAGCATAACAGGCCACAACCAACAGCAGAAACTCATTAGTATATTAGGACACACACCCTGATAGAGCAGCTCATTAGCATATTAGGCCACACCATCATGTTCCTAGAAGTGTGGTCATCCAGCCACAACCACCTTTTGCTTCTTATTCTGTTTACCTTGTTTGTCTTCAAAACCAGGGCTTTTTTTGTAGCAGGAACCCTTTGCATGTTAGGCCACACACCCCTAATGTAGCCAATTCTAATGTGTTTCTGCTGTTGGGTGTGGCCTATTATGCTAATGAGCTCCTGCTGGGCATGGTCAACTCGGGAGCCAGCCGGAACTCCATTCCTGTGCGTTCCTGCCCAAAAAGAGCCCTGTAATTACGGCCATTCTATGGCCGTTCAGAGGTGACTTTGCAGTCAGTACGGTGTTGCCCCAGGGTATTTGAATGTGGTTTTGAGCTGCACTTTTCCCTCCCAGTTGAGAAAATGTGGAGCGAATGCTAAATGCGGAATCGCCCTGTGTCACAAACTCCCCAATGCCCGGGAGTTTGGGAGTGACTAGTTTGGCAAGACAAGCAAACAAAAGGCTAAGCGTGAATCCACCCACCATTGGGTATCACTGCCACCAGCTCCTTCGATGCAGTCCACCAGAAACCAAGGGACCAAGCCTCTAGCCTCCCAGGCCTAAACAAGGAATCAGCCCTGTAAGGTTGCGCACTCACCAGGTGAGTTCCAGCAGCAAGTTACTTCGGTAGCTGTGGTCAGCCTGGGCCAAAGTACTAGAGTCAGACTGAAGCCCCAGAATTACATCAGATATAATTCAAGTGATTTATTAAAAGGATGTGCAGGAATATACAATAAAAGAGCAAAGAACAGTGAGAACAAAGATAACAAAAAGCTAGATAGCTAACCTAGATACTTACAAGCACTGGCTCTCGAATCTGGAGGTTACCTTAGCAAGGCTGAGTCCAAGGCAGAGATCTGGCTACGCTGGCCCACCAGGTCAAGGCTAGTTTGTATTCCAAGCAAAAGCAAAACTGGAATATAGGGTTGCTGGGTCCCTCCTGGCAATCGGCAGGGGATGCGGGGACTTACCAGGAGAGAGGAAGGCCCAGGTGACGTGGAGACCTCACTTCCAGCACACACAGGAAGTGACATTATCAAGCTGTGACGTCTCATCAACACTCGCAAAAACTCTATGGCAAAAATGGCTTCTACTATAGAGTTTTTGCCCAAATACCAGAGCATTCCCTGGACATCACTGGTGTAATGACATCACTTCCTGTACATGCCAGGAGTATATCGTCACATCACCTGGGCCACCTTCTCTTTCCTGGTAAGTCCCCCTGCTATCCAAGCTGATTGGCAGCAGGGGGGCACCGCCTCCACCAGGGGAGCTGGCAACCCAAAGAATGAAGAATCTTTCCTTTATGCCTCGCGGCCTGTGTTGGTGTGATTTAGGTGAGCCAATCAGATGTAGGTACGGTTGCCAGGTCTTACCCGGCTGCTGGGGGGGGGCTCCAGCCCAGGCCCCTGGGGCTTCTGGTGCGCACGCCACAACAACATCACCCAGAAATGACATCATCACGCCAGGCACATCGTGCAGGGGAAGCTCTAGCATTCGACCAGAAACGTCATCCTGCCGGGCATGTCGGGCACACAATGGGGCTCTACGAGGGCAGGGCTCCCCCCCACCGGCCAGCAGCAAATAAGGGGCCCCGAAAGTGGGGAAAATCCACTCCCATTGGGGGCACGGCGACTCTAGATGTAGGCCAAATGATGTAACCCAACTAGAAGAGTTGGATTTATGCCCCGCCCTTCACTACCCAAGGGAGTCTCAGAGCGGCTTACAAACTCCTTCCCCTTCCCCTCCCCCTCCCCACAACAGACACCCTGTGAGGTAGGTGGGGCTGAGAGAGCTCTTTCCAGAACTGTCCTTGAGAGAACAGCTCTGACGGAACTATGGCTTGCCCAAGGTCATCCAGCCAGGTGCAAGTGGAGGAGTGGGGAATCAAACCCAGTTCTCCCAGATTAGAGTCCGCGCACTTAACCACTACACCAGTGGTGTTAGTGACCAGCTCCTGCCAACCTAGCAGTTCGAAAGCAAGAAATTGCAAGTAGAAATGGGAAGGTAACAGTGGGGGGAAGGTAACAGTGTTCCGTGCGCCTTGGTGTTTAGTCATGCCGGCCACATGACCACGGAGACGTCTTCGGACAGCGCTGGCTCTTCAGCTTTGAAACGGAGATGAGCACCACAACCCTAGAGTTGGATTCGACTGGCTTTCCAGCAAGGGAACCTTTACTTACTTAACCACTACACCACTGGTGTTAGTGACCAGGCGATGTAAACAATCAGGTAAGACTGCCAAACAGTCTCTTTGTAGCTGCATCAGATCCCGTTAACAAGGCCCATAAACCCCTGCATGGACAAGAGGGCCCATGTTAGGCCCACTTCAGCAGCCATAGGGCAGAGGATGTCCCCAGCAGCTGTGATCACCTCTCAGCCTCCCTCCCTTGTCTCTCTCCGAGCTACAGGCAGCTTGACCTGGGTGCTCCGGGGACAGAGAGATTCCCATGTTCTGCAGGCCTGAACCGCCGTCTCAGTTTGAACAAGAGATTATGGAAGGGAGCTAGTCTGTTGACAGACTGGGCATGTGCAGCAGTGAGCCTTTGGCATTATCCCAGAAAGCAAAGTCCACATGTTGGGGGGGGGGGACACGCTTGGGCAATAGGACAGTCGTAGCCCCCCAAGCAGTGCCCATTAGAGATGTAAAATTTCCGGAAATTTTGAAGCTTGGAAAAAAAAACGGGTTTTTTCGGGGGGGAACAGAAATTTTCGGAAAAATTGAAAAAATGCTACATTAGCATTTCTTTTGTCTTTTCTAGATTGAAAGTCATTCTGTTACTTTAGGAACATAAAATATGACTATGGACATTTTTACTTGGCATGAGATTATCACAACAAGCATATTAAAAATATAGTGTATCCAAACAATTATTACAAACAGGATACCCACCCACATGCAAAAACAAAACTGACACTTTATTTTCTTCTGACAATCGCACCTCCTAAAGGAAGAAATGCATCTTGTTCTTGCTTGGAGGGTTCAGTTTGTAACCTAGGACTTGCTTGTCCTCAGTGCACAGAAATTAGATCATTTTGATACCATATATATATATATATATTTTAGGAATGATTTGGAAAATATTTGAATACCTTGTCTTAAAATATTTTATTCATCATGCTAAAATAAAACAAAAAAGGCTTCAGGAAAAAAAGGGAAAAAACCTGTTTTCCCCCGAATTTTTCTGTTTTTTTTCCGGGCTTTCACATCTCTAGTGCCCATTGCTTTGCACTCTTCTCTCTCTCTCCTGCCCAAAGGACAAGAGTTGAAGAGCGGGAGGTTATTCCATAGAGTTTTCAGGCCAATTGCCAGAGCGTCACCCGGCGACACACCCAGCGTGATAACGTCACTTCCAGGCTACGTCATCGCTACGCACATGAATGTCCCAGCCGAGGACCCAAGCTCCCCCACTAAACAAAGATAAGCACTTGGCAACCCTACATCCACATTAAGAGGGTCTGACCACCTGCAAGCACTACACCCTCCGCACTTAAGAGTAACATTTCAGTAAATGTGGACACACCCAGCCCAGCGACCCGCAGACAAATGGTCAGAACGCAAACAGTCTTTAATAAACCTTTATTAGCAAACTGTTGCCTACCATCCAGGGTTTATCATTTGTTACAATTCACTCTTCATACATCCGGGTTACAATTACGAAGACAGCTAAACCTTTGCATTGATTTCTGTATTCTGAAATACTCTCGTCAGGCCACAAACGGTAGAAAATGAGGTGCTGCCAAGGGCGTGGTGACTTGGGGGAGGAGGGCGGCAGCGAGGGGGACAAAATGTCACGTCACCGACTCCGCTATGAACTCGGGACAAGTGGGCAGCCGATCCCAAGCGGCAGCGGACAAAATCCAGTCAAAGCAGAGTTCCCGAGAGCAGAAGTCGCTCTGCGCTAGGAGGGTCTCCTGAGACACAGAGCGGCTATGGAACCATCACAGCCACTGATATTTCCAGACCTTTATCCGTGGGGCCTTTCCCAGCACCCAAAGCAGCCCGTCTGGCTGGACATCTTGCCTGGCAGCCTCCCCTGACAACCACGGCAGGCCAGCTCCAAGAACGTTCCTCTCTGCTCATCAGGAAATGGGCATCTTGTGGTTTTATCATCCCTGAGGTATTTCTCACCCCTCCCCTTGTCTCATCAGCCCTTTTCATTATTAGCCATTGCAAAAACAAAAAGAAAATCATACACGTGGACTTTGTCTTTAGTTCTTCAACACACCAATGGTCCTAAATCAGGAAGCCAGAATGTGAAGCAATTCCAGAGTAAGGTAAACCTCAAAACGGCAGACCTTTCTAACCCCTCATTCCAGGAAAAACAACCTCCTGCCTACATTTTCTGCCTCCCCCCCAAACACACACATACTTGCTTTCTTTCCTAAGGCTTTTTGCTACAAGGGATTTGTCTTGGCTGACTGAGTTCCTCCACCAGCTCCACATGCCAGCCCCACACCAGAACACTTCAGAGGAGAAACTGAGCCCTGGTGACCCTCTTGGGGAGAGTGGGGTCTCCCCCCCCCCACTGGCTTCTTCAGCAAAGTGATGTTGACAAGTGCAAAACGGCTTTAAAAACATAAATACAGAACCTCTAAAAAAAAACACAACAGTACAGAATATGGAGGACGACACAACTAGAAACATGTCTATAAAAATAGTTTGACAATAACTCTCGTGTTTAAATAAATACAAAATAAATATGCTTGATGCCATTTAAACAACAACAACAACAATAATGATGACAGTGGAATGTGATGCCGGCCCGCTTGCCTCAAAACCCCCCCCCCCCCCAGTCAAGAAGGTGGAGGGGGGCCTGCTGGCCGCCCGGATCAGCCTGAGCGTTCAGGCCCCGGGAGCCCGTGGGACAGTCAGTCAGAGACAGAGATCTGCCTTCTACGAAAATAACCTGGCAGGAAGGAGAAAAGCAAGCACCCCCCTCCTCCAGTCCCCAGTGGAATCTTCCTCCTTCCCGTCGCCAGCACACCCTGTCCCTTCCCTTATGAAAAGCTACACCGGGCTGCGGCTCGTTCCACCCCAGTCCCCCTCCGCCAAGTGCCAAGTCTAGCACCAGACTAATGAAGTTCTAGAAAGCATCGCAGCAGCCAAGGCGCAGGGTCTTGGGAAGGGGGAGGGGAGCTGCTGCCCACAGGGGATGGCGAGGATCGCGGCTGAGTCGCCATGCAAAACGTGGCCAGGGGAAGCAGAGATGGCCCCTTCCTCTCCCTGCCCACGCGGTGCTCAGATGCCAGGGGTGGGGTCCGGAGCAGCACAGCTTCGCCTGGCCCATCCTGGAAGCCGTTCACGGTGCCAGGCTGCATGACTGCTTTCTTAGCGTCCCCGGGCCGACCCCCCCCCCGGATGGTCGCAGCCTATCTGGCATGGAAGCCCAGGCACATGCAGGCTGCGAGGGGCCGCATTTGGAGATGCGCACGTTGAACCAACTCTACCAAAAGGTAAAAGATTTTCGGTTTCGGTTCACCAGGATTTTTGCCCCCTCGAGCCTTGGTTTTAAATTTACATTGCTCTGTCAGAATCACTGAAGTAGGACGTGAATCGTTCCTACCCACCCAAAAAGAAGAAGAAGGAATGTAACGTAAACTAATGTTTCTGGCCCAGCAGCCGTTCCTACCCAAAGCGAGAGATTTAAAACAGTGAGTAGGAAGAGTTAACAACTCAACAGGAAGAAGCTCTTTCAAGCAAGTCGGAAGGTGCTGCTTTCTCCGGCTCCGGACTGAGAGGAGAGGTTCAGGAGGGGAGAGCGTTCTCTCCCACAGACCTTCCCCCACCGCGCCCGGAGCCCGGCCAGCACTATCAGCTCCGGGCGTTTCCCTTGGGTGCCCCCCAGTTTGGTCCCTTGCAAGCAGGGAAGCCCAGCTGATGATGGACAGAAACAACACACAGCACTTGCGGTAGCAGAACAGCAAAAAAAAAAAGGCCCCAAGCCCTCCCTAACAATTCCAGGGCGCAGGCGACCCAGGATTTTCATAGCTTGGCTCAATCAGCTTAGTGTTGATCGACACATTCACAGAATGAAACGGCCATAACACCTTAGGGACTGCAGCCCCCAAGATGATTGGTTTTTTCCTAAAAGAGTTCAACGAGCACAGACGCCGCCTTGTCATCGGGACTGCACGCCCAGCGTCATCTTCAGGTTCTCGTAGACCACGTAGCTGATGCTCACAGCCGGTATCACCTTCATAAAGTTGGGGGCCAGGCCCCTATAGAGGCCGAAAGCGCCCTCCGTCTTCAGGATATGCTTGAAGAGCCCCCTCATCGTCACCTCTGGCGCTCCTCCGATTGAAGCTAGAGAGAGAAGCCGTGGAACAGCTGTCAAGAGCCTGAAGCGTGCTAGGGGTTTCAGAATACGTCACCGGGAGACGAGCATTCAACTCCCCGTGGGATTTAAAGAGCTGGGGATTATGTCTCCATGACTACAAATCAGCGCGAGCCAAGTGGCAGCCGGCCAGTGGAACGGGGCACACAGTTTTGGAAGACGGGGAGAACCCAACTGTTAACAGCAGCGGCCAGACTCAGTTTGCTAGGCTGTGGCAGAAAGGCTGTTACTCAACAGGGCTTATAGGGGACTCTAACACAGTCTAAGAAAATCCGTAGCCCTGAAGGATGTGGGCTCACAAGACGGCAAACTGAGCCCAAAGGAGGGCATAAAAGTGACAATGAATGAGATGGAGAGGTGGTACACCTACACGGAAGCGACTACGAACTCGTGGCCTTCACCCTCTCAAATTCTGGGAAGCATCAACTGGTGGTTACAGATGTTCTGAAATGCTCTTACCTTGAGCTTGCATGCGCGTCCGCACTAGGGCCAGAGGATAACTGGCCAGCTGCCCACAGGTGCTTGACATGGTACCACAGGCCAACAGAACGAACACCCCGGGGTCGGCGCTGTTTACGGCGTAACGCTGCAACCAGGTGTTTTTTAAGGTCTACGGGGAAAATCACAAAGAAGCCAAGCCTTAGCGGGAATGGACAAGGACAGAGTTGCAAACCATGAAGAAACCCTCCTGGATAATAATCATATTCATCATCATCATCTTTAGTATTTGATGGGTTGAAAGACAAAGCAACCTATGCTTACAACATCTATGCCGTTAGGGCTGCAGCTCTACAGGGAAATGAGACGGTGACTTGGCAGATGCCCGGCTCAAATTTAACTTTCCTTGCAACTAGTCCCCTCCCCCTCCGCCCCGAGCCTCTGCTGGGCCCTCTTACCTCATATACCGCCAGGTCAATGCCGGCGTACGGAATGATCCCGAGCATATTGGGGACGTAGCCTTTGTAGAAAGCGGCCATCCCTTCTTTGGCGAGAATGTTCTTGGCACAGTCCAGCATCCCCAAGTACTGCCCTGTCTTGCGCAGAGCCATCCGCGTCTTCAGAACCTGAACCGTTGGAGGAAGGGAAGCGTGAAGAATCCACGGAGCAGATAAAGGGATGTGTGTGTCTGTGTGTGCAGGCTAACTATAGAAGAACTGGGGGGGGGGGGGGGGGAGGAATCTTTGGCTCTGAATAACGTTTGTTTTTGTCAACTGGATCTGGTCGTGGACCGTAATATAATACAACTGGATTGAACTGAATTGACTCCTTGGCTAAGCACTGTGCCAATACAAGAACTCGTGGGCACTCAATGAAATTGCTGAGTGGTCGGGTTAGAACAGATAAAAGGAAGTACTTCTTCACCCAAAGAGTGATTAACTCATGGAATTCACTGCCACAGGGGGTGGCGGCGGCTACAAGCATGGACGGCTTCAAGAGGGAATTGGATAAGCATATGGAGCAGAGGTCCATCGGTGGCTATTAGCCACAAGGTATAGATAGGAACTCTCAGTCTGGGGCCAGTGATGCTCTGTATTCTTGGTGATTTGGGGGGGGGGGACAGTGGGAGGGCTTCTAGTGTCCTGGCCCCACTGCTGGACCTCCTGATGGCACCTGGTATTTTTGGCCACTGTGTGACAAGAGTGTAGGACTGGATGGGCCATTGGCCCGATCCTACATTGGCTTCTCTTATGTTCTCTTACGTTCTTATGTGCAACTCCGCTCCCAGACAAATCCCCATGGTCAAAAGAGAAGGAAGGCACAGCTCTCTATTCTAAAGGGGGAAACAGGGACGTCTGTTCCCTTGCCGCTGCTCTATGAGCCCCCAAACTTGCTTTGTGAAGGTGCCGAACCCAACTGTACAGAGGCCATGAAGGAGGGGGAAGCTTTCCCTGAGTGGTATCAACTGCTAAGGAAGAGTGGTGGCTAGAGGAGATTCCAACTGGTGCGCCACCAAGGATACAGCCCTTGTGGGGAAAACTGCTTCTGAACATTCAAAACCAGCTGGAGTTGTGTCCAGCGGAGGCAGGAATAATGACTCTGACTCTTGCTTGGACAGACAGCCAAAAGGGACCTCAGCGACTCACCTCCATGGGGTAGATGCTGCTCTGTGCGATGGCTCCCGCCAGCGAACCTGCAACGAATCTCTCGTGAATCCTCAGCACCTCCTGGTCAGTGCCAATCAAGCGCTTGATCTACACAATCAAGAGAACATGGTGGCATTGGTTTTGAGAGGCTACACGCAACAGTCTCTGTCACTCACCCCTTGCTCTCTCCCTCGTTATCCTCGCTGGTGGGTCAAAAACGCCACCGATTCCCACTCCCACGTGCACGTGGCACACCACCAGTGTTCCCCCTAAGCTGAGTTAGGGTGAGCTAGCTCTCAATTTTTTAGCCTCCGGCTCACACATTTTCCTCTTAGCTCGGGAAGGATGGCTCAAGACCAAACTAATTTATGCAGCGGCCAAATCGCTGGCTCACAACTTTAATGCCCGTAGCTCACAAAGTAGAATTTTTGCTTACAAGACTCCACGGCTTAGAGGGGGCATTGCACACCACCCAGGCTCCTTTGCCCTTTACCTGTTCATAGGCCATGAATTTGATGGCAGATTCCGGAGCGATCTTCAAGACATTGATCCCGTTCCCGCGCCAAAGCGACCTCGCGCCACCCTCTCGGATCATCTGGGTGAAGCCACCGACGATGCACATGTTGTTGTTGCGAGAAGCGTGGACCTGGAAAGGGAGAAGGGGTGCACGTTTAATAGAGAGAAGTCCCTATTGGCCAAAAAAGAAAAAGGGTGTTTTTCCACAGGCCCCCCTGCTTGTTATCCAATTCAGTAATCCCGTGAACAGCGTGGAGGGACGGGGGCGGACATGGGAGCTGGACTCTGGCACCAAAACAGGAATGGATGATGAAAAACAAGGCTGGGTCGCGCCTGACCCTCGCTGGGCAAAGTCCAAACTCTTCATTTCCCAATGTGCTTTCTGACAGAGACTCTGCCCTTTGAGCCTAAAATGGGAAATGCTGCCAGCGAGTCACAGGTCGCCTCCTGTCCAGCCCGACCCCTCAAAGCCACCGCTAAGGGAAGGCTTGTTCTGCCAACGCTGCGCGGTCCAAGGCCTCGGCTGCTGTCATCACTGATCTTACAGGTATTTCATGGGTAAGAGTGCCAGACAAACATTCCAGATGGAAAGGGGCAGTTGTGTTTTTCTCTGGACGCGGCAATGCTGAGTCAGGCGTCTAGAGCAGAGGGGTCAAACTCGTTTTGCTACGAGGGCCAGATCTGAAATCAATGTCCCTTCGTTGGGCCGGGCCATGAGTGCCATAAAATGTAACGCCAGGTACTAAAGAGATAAACTATATAAAGGATACTGACAAACCCAATAGACAACCCAATTTTTTACTCAAAATGCAAACAAAAGCAATGGATTTCTAGCAGTGAAAGCAATTGATTTACTGGGGAACCCATAAAAGCCACAAGAAATGTATTTAATCAAAACTAGTTTTTTTCCCCCAAGGGATACCATAAACGGGGGGAGTACCTTACATTTCCATACATGCCAGCAGCTTGCGGGCCGGGTAAGAGGCCTGGGCGAGCCGCTTCCAGCCGCTGGGCCTTATGTTTGACACCCCTGGTCTAGAGGATTGCTCTCCTGTTGGTCTCAGAATGGCAGATGTAAAACTGGCATTACCTAATCTTGCATCTCCCATCTCCCATGGGGGGGGGGGGGCCTGGGGGGAGAAGGACCCTGGGCTTGTGTTGTGAGAACAGCTTGCCTGCATCACACAGCATGCAACGCTGCAGCGCCTCCTTCCAAGTTTCCAACCTACCTGCATAATCACTTTTAGGCGGTCCAAGGGAGCAGTGCAGGTTCGAGACACGGCTCCCGCACCTCCCCCCGCAACGAGGTGTCGCCACCACATCCCTGTCTGCCTCTCTTCCACCGTGAACTCGTCTGGTACTGTCAGGTTCTCTCCCACGTCAAAGATCTGCAAGGCGATACAGCATGAATAAAACCATTTCCTTCAGCCGGGGTATTAAAAGGGAGCACTGTGACTTCCTCAAGAGGCCTGGTCATCTGTGACCACGCTCCGAGATGAAAGATATAAAGAACAGGGAAGCAATTCACTCAGCTTCACTACTGGAAATCCACATCTCGTTTGCGCAACAGCAGCCATAGTGTTCCCCCGTGCACGTGAGGATCGCTAATAAATCTCACATTCTTCACAGAGGGCCTCTCTGCATTGTGGTAGTTCTGGTTCACGAGGCTGGTCGTTAGCCAGCCTCATCGCTCGCCTGTTCAAAATGACTAACCATGAGGGGAAAAACGGGACGCACACTGGAGTTCACAGGCTGATTTGATCTTGCTACACAGCATTTACATGCCAAATGTATCAAAGAGGGCTCGGATCGGTTTCCAGTTTTGGCAGGAGCTGGTCATTAGCACACAGTCAGACCCAGTGAAGCAGTTCACTGGCTTTTCACCTCCATGAGAACACTAATTTTCACCTGGGCCAGACACTGTAAAAGTCAGACCCAGGGGCATATAGGGGGGGAAAAAACCAAACTCGCAGAAGCAGGAAGGAACAAAAGCTAGAAGGCAGTTTGTTCTTGGTGGAAACCTATGGCAGAGACTCAAGTTCAACCAAGGATTTCACAACCGTTGTGCCGGAGACATTTTAGCTTCTTACCGTAGAGTGCTTCCAGTACAAGATGATCTCGGGAATGTTCTCCACGGGGTGCAACAAATGATAGTCGCGCCACTCGTTCCAGTCTATTGTCATCGTCCCATTCTTATCCATGCTGCAAGAATCAATTGGAGAGGGCAACATGAATCAGGGCTTCGTCCTCGCTCTGCGGTCAGTTCAGAGCATCTCCTCCACACCAGACAGAATCACACGACATAGCAGTACTTGGAGAGGGTCCTGGAGGACATGAAACTACAAGTGTAGCGAGCTCTACTGTACGGTGGCATCACATTCTTCGGAGTGTCTCATGCAGCTGTGGGAGCCTAAGTGTTGACTAAAGCCAAGGGAGAGACGGGCATCTTTGTTGCGTCATCCCCCCCCCCCCGAGTTTCTTCGTTGTCAGCGAGTCACCCATGACTGCAAGAACTAGACTCCTGACGTATTTGGGGAATGACGTGGCCAAATAAAAATATTTGTACGAAATAAAATTCTGTAGATAGTTGTTGCTCAGGAATTGACTGATTACCATGTTTGGGGCCAAGCAGAGGAATTCTTTTAACAGACTAACTTACGACTGGTATGTGCCTGCCTGCCTGCCTTCCTTTATAGGGCACGGCTCAAACTGGATCTGTTTACTGTACAGACAAATTAATTCTTCCAGTCTACGTAATGCTTGATTCTCTCGATTGCATGGCTTGTTCTACGGAAGACTGGAATGCACGTGGGGCTTGCCTTGTGGGCAATGCTCCCTCTAAGCTGTGGAGTCTTGTGAGCAAAAATTCTACTTTGTGAGCTCCTGGCATTAAAGTTGTGAGCAGGTGATTCGGCTACTGCTTAAGTTAGTTTGCTCTGGAGCCATCCTTCCTAAGCGAAGCCAAAAAAAATGGGAGACAGAGGCTAAAAAACTGTGAGCCAGCTCACACTAACTCAGCTCTGAGGGAACATGGTTTGTGGGAGCAAGAGGGAAGAGGACGCTAACTTGGAGGGATTCTTTCCAATTAGACAAACCTATGAACCCGGGTAAAAAATCCTATCTGGTGGTGTAACGAGAGCTGGCTTTTAAACAACAGTTAAGAGCGTGGGGACGGTTCCATCTCAGTCCGGTACATAGCTTTGGCCAAGCCTCTGCTTCCCCAAAAATCTGTAATTTGGAGGTTCATGGCCTACCCCTGCAAAGTTGTTGTAATTCATGAAGGTGGAACCCTTTGAGGGCTCAGAAGAAGCACTATAAAGCAGTCAGAATAAATGAGACCCTCCACTGGATTTTAATGCTCAGCTATCCGTTTTGCTAAGGAGTGGCTACATACTACCACAAAACACTGGCACACAGAGGACTAGGGACCAGGAAAGAACACACACAAGCTAGTACTTACTATGTGACAGGACCCCAGATATGCCCCGTCCTTATTCTGATAAGACAGACAGGTAGGCAGACAGAGGGGAGGATGCAAATAGGGTGGGGTGGGGTGGGGAGAAATAAGAGGAAAGAGTACAAATAAGTGAGTTAAAAGTTAGTGCCACATGCACACAGTGGAGAGCATTTCAACGTGTTAGGCAGCACATACATGGAAGTGGGGAGCACCAGAATAAGCAATTAAGGACAGTCATTTATTTAAGCCACTACACCCCTGTATTAGTAAAGTGTGCTCTGCTAGACGAACAGAGATCCAAAAGGCTGGCAGATCATGAATAGGCCTTTCCTGGCAGCTGTCCCTGGCGAGAGGATGTTTGCCAGTATGTCGCTCAGCTGCGTTGTGGTCGCACAATACACAGACTGGCATCCTCCCCCGAACCCCCCGGCTCCATGCCAGAGCTGAGCGCACCCTGTTTGTAGAGACAACACTGCCGTCTCAGGCGGCGGGAGGGCGTATTTGCTTTTTGGTGTCACATGCTCTTCATGATTCTGCCTGAACTCGTGTCCTCGCTTTAAATTGTCCTGCGGTTCCAGGAACAGGTGTGGGTGTCTACTCGCCCGCTTTCTGATCACTACTCTAAGCGCTAGTTGCTACAAAGAAAGGCTGCTCGGCAGACGTTTTGTAGGAAACAGAGACAGGGGAAAGAGAAGGTAATGCTGTGGACTGTGTTCTCGGGAGTGGGCACAGTGCAGGCGGCTGGGGTGCTCACCTCTTTTTTTCAAATCAGTTTTATTCAATTTTCTCATTAACTCATTAACACCAGGGTTATGCAAGATAGGCATATACATATAATTAACATATTTTTCGTTATACATACAAAAAGTGCTTTAATCAATCTAATCTATACTGTGGTGAGGATTCTTTCCGTACAGTTCATACTATATATCAAACTGTGTATTGTGCTATAAACGCTACAAAAGGCGAAGAGTACCTACTACATCGGGTACTGAATAGTATGGTTAGGTATGGTAAGATAGGAGACCATATACATGTAGTATCATTGGGGTGCTCACCTCTTGAGGATTTTTTCTGCCTGCTGTTCAGAGATCTTGACTCCCAGGTCCCGAAGGGACTGCATGATCTCCTGGGCATCGATGCGGCCTGTGGAGAGAGAATGCGTGGCACATGAGGCTCCCACTCCCAGAACCAGAAGTCCCAGTCGTTGCTCCCAGCGGCTGCCGGCATGCCCTCACCATCGTTCTTCTTGTCGAGACTCTTGAACACCAGCCTCAGTTTCTTCTCGTGGTCTTGGAGGTAGTGGACAAACTCCTCAAAGTCCAGCTGCCCATCCAGGTCCTTATCTCCAGCCTTCACAATTTTCTGTTAAAAACAAACAGAGAAGACATAAAATAAGCTTTATTTGCCTTCCTCCGTGGAGGTGGGTGGGAGGAAATTAAGATATGCTCCCCTTAAAGAAAACTCTGTAGCTGTTTGACAAAAGATCTGTAAAGAGACAGTTGCGACCATACATGTCTGAAGGTAACTTGCTAACCTTGTCCTAGATATCCCGAACAGCTTCTTCTACAGGGTCCACAAATGACCACGAGCATAAGCAAATACTGAAGACTCAAGGATTCTCCCATCCAATGCTCCCTCTAAGCTGTGGAGTCTTGTGAGCAAAAATTCTACCTTGTGAGCTACTGGCATTTTTGTGAGCGAGCGATTTGGCTACTGCATAAATTAGTTTGCTCTGGAGCCATCCTTCCTGAGCTAAGACAAGAATGGGTGAGCCGGAGGCTAAAAACCTGTGAGCTAGCTCACGCTAACTCAACTTAGAGGGAACACTGCTCCCATCACAGGAGTCATTTTCTAGGAGGGGGAAAAGCAGACACCAAAAGAAAGCAGTGCCTTTCAAAATGGTGCTGGGGCACTATGCCATGAGTTACACACACACGCACACAGCCACTCTTGCCTTGCAAAACTCCCTCAGACAGTGGGTGAAAAGGAGCCACAATTCAGCCTCTTGTGGAACAGAAAGCCAGGAAGCTGAGCGTCATCATGAGCTATCAGAAATAGTGAAAGTACAAACTCAAACTAAAAAAAAAAAAGAGAGAGAGATTTCAAAGCAATTAAGTTGCTTCATACGCGTGCCTATTTTTAGACCAGCAATTTCTGGGGGAAACTGACTGCAACCAGAAAAGTCTAGCTTGAAATTAACATTACAGGGGATTTTCGAAGATGATGACGAAGAAGAAGAGATTGGATTTATACCCCGCCCTTCACCACCCAAAGGTGTCTCAGAGCGGCTTACAAACTCCTTTTCCCTCCCCCTCCCCACAACAGACACCCTGTGAGGTAGGTGGGGCTGAGAGAGCTCTGACAGAAACTGCTCTTTTTCAAGGACAGTTCTGATCAGAACTACGGCTTGCCCAAGGTCATCCAAGCCAGGTGCAAGTGGAGGAGTGGGGAATCAAACCCGGTTCTCCCAGATTAGAGTCCGCGCACTTAACCACTACGCCAAACTGGCTCTCATAATGGCAACTCTAGTACAAGCATGAACGGGTTTGGTCATCCTGCAGTTATGCACTTGTGCCAAGATCTTGGGGGAAATTTTATATTTTGGAAGAACCCCAAGTTAAATAAGGAAATTCCACCTGTAACATTCTACTCGGCTCCCTTAAGCGAAAAAAGGTGCCTCGACCCTTGCTCAGCTGTGGGTTTTGCATATCTATGAGGCTGTTTTGTTCAGCTCAATTAGAACTGTAAATCACCCAGCAAGGGCCAGGTTACTCCTTAACCAGGCTCCACTTGCCTGCCACAGATCACAAGACTGTGAGTCACTGAAGTCTCCCTTAAAGATTGCAATTATCAGAGTAGAATATGCCTGGAGGGGCTGCCTGTGAAGTTACAGGTCCTGCCAAAATCTAATTCCCCTTGGGACACCACATAAAGTAAAACATGAAGAAGGCAACATGTTAAGAACGCTTTCTCAATGGCAATATGCTTTCCGTATATCAAGGTCATGCAATGTATATCACATTACATGGGAACCCAGTGAAGGACCGTGCCAGTACGTATGGATGCAGGAGATCTCCTTCCTTCTCCCATTCTGCCCGATGCTAAACCCACACCTCAGTATAATTTAATACCTTTCCTAATTTAACCTTAACACGGGTGCCCAGTCACCATCTGCAGTGACCTTTCATAAAACCAAGATGCCTCTAATCTGCAGTCATATGACAGCTGTAAAAAAAACCCAGGAGAGACAGGAGAGGCTGCCATTCATGTGCTAAAGATAGAAAGAAACCTCTGGCATGTCAGCAGATAGCTGTCAACCCGCTGATTCAGGATTTCACTCTCTCAAATATCCCCTTGGGAGAGCTGCAGATTTTGCAATCCCTGTAGAAATGGCCCTGAAAAAGCCAGAAAGTGCATTGGACTTCTCCAGAAGGCATACAGCAGGGGCGGGGGGGGGGGGGGGCAACATGGCAAAATGTCTGCTTGTACAGTCGAGTTAGCTGCTGAACTCTCCCAGTTGTGATGCAACTGCAACTGGCCTCTAACTTTGCATCACTAGCCTTGCATCATGGACTGCACTTTCTACATGCCCAGAAAGCCTCAGCATTCCTTATCTCTGACCAAGCAGAACACACCATTTCTACAATTCGTCTTCAAAAACCCAGGCTGCTTTTCATTTCCCTGGTTTATAGTCTCAAGGTACCAGCAAGTCCCCCCCTCGCAACCAAGTTCTAATATGCAGTTCTACAAAAGCAGACCCCTTTCCCAGTACTCAAAACACAGGACTACGGTGAAAAGGAAGGAGCGGATGAACATATGTGGGCAGTTCGCTGGTTTTTATAATTTGGTTGCGATCCTAACAGCACTTGCTGTAGAGAAACCCCAGTAAGTACCAGCATGTTAGGATTGCACTATAAATCTGTACAAGTGATTGCTCTTACTTTTCTGAGCAAGCATGTTAGGACTGCAGTACAAGTGAAGCAGTGTCCCCCCCCCCAAAAAAAAAAGACAACTGTGTAATCCGCTTAATGACAGCTGAAGAGTCTCTGTTAAGTAGGCTGATTTACACAGCACTTTGGTGGTGTGAACAGGAGTAGGCCGGCATCGGTCTCGCATGATCTGTGTTTTGGATTTCGGCACTTTTTAAATTACTCCAACAGCCAGCGGACACAAGCGGACTGCTGCCCGCCCACCCCTGCGCAGGAAGTCCCGGTTGCTAAGCTGGAGAAAGATACCAAAATGGAAGTAATGCTAGTAACACAGACTCCAGCTATCTCATGAAAATCCTCCTTTCCCTATTGATTCCTTTGTAATTGGAGAAGGATAGTGATCAAACTCAGGGTGAGCAGTTTAGATGGAATGTGGCAAAGTCCTTCTCTAGTACCTTGGGGAATAATGGGGGGGGGGGGGGGAGACACTAAAGGTAAAAAGTCTTGTGGGTAGTGTTGTCGATGGAAGGACAAAGGGAGAGCGCGGACCAGAGGGATACCCACCAATCACTGCAGTTTTCCCTTTGGCAAGCATAGGCTGGAACAGAAATGCTAGTGGGAGCAACCATTTGGCAGGGAGCTGTCTGAGAACAGAGGCTGTCGCTTGAAGGAATTATTTGAACAGGGGTGCCCATTAGATCACTGCAGAAGCCCAGCTGCCCGGAAGCACTGCCTGATCTAAAGTTCAGAGAAATCACAGGTTTGACTGCACAGTTTCGGATCAATGCAGTCGGTCAGCCACATGTAGTAACCAGTTTTCATTTTTGGCTTCTTGCCTTGGACAGCATGAGCAGGATTGTCAAGCACCAGGCCGGCATGGTTGGGGCATGACTGAGCTGCATGGAGCTTGGCAGATCAGGTTCTAGAAACCTGTGCTAACATGTGAACTACATCAGTAGCGGGTGGCCTATGGGTTTCAGTCATATGGTATCACCAATTGCAACGGCTTGCAGTACTCACAGCCAATGTTCCCTCTAAGCTGTGAAGTCCTGTGAGCAAAAATTCCACTTTCTGAGCTATTGGCATTAAAGTTGTGAGCAAGCAATTTGGCTACTGCATAAATTAGTTTGCTCTGGAGTCATCCTTTCTGAGCTAAGACAAAAACATGTGAGCCGGAGGCTAAAAAACTGTGAGCTAGCTCACACTAACTCAGCTTAGAGGGAACACTGCTCACAGCCACAAGGTTTCTTTGCAACCACAAAAGCTGCCCTTGTAGTCCTATGGGGGATGTTAGTGGTCTACAATGGATCTTCCTCATTGCAATGTCAACTGTTTCTTTCAGCCATCCAGTTTACTGTTTAAATGCTGGCTGATTCTCCCCAGCCCTCTGACTATAGCTAGAACACTAATGAAGGCAAAGGGACATGATCCGCAATGATCAGAAACAAGAAAACCTTAGGAAAATGGGGGGGGGGCAAGTGTGAAGCCATGGAAAGAACTGGGGTTGCGTGTGAGAAACGCCTATTTAACTGCTACCCTTCCAGGAAACTCTCTGAGTAGACATACCGCTACTTTCCAACATAACCTGCTTCGGAATCCCATGAAGAAAATAAGAATTTGGAGGAGAGCAAAAGGGAGATGACTTTGTACCTAAAATCTGACACAGAAATCAATAGCAGTAATAGACGTTACGAAGGCAGGAGCTCATCCCCAGAACAGAGAGCCAGCTTGTACAGCCGACAAGGAGGCCTAAATTCAAATCCATCCTCCGTCATAAAACTCGCCAGAGATTGTGGGGGCCCAACACACAGCCTAACCTACCACACTGTGAGGTTTTCCAGGGAGACTGAAAACAATGTAGAAGAAGAGGAAGAAGAGATTGGATTTATACCCCGCCCTTCACTACCCAAAGGTGTCTCAGAGCGGCTTACAAACTCCTTTCCCTCCCCCTCCCCACAACAGACACCCTGTGAGGTGGGTGGGGCTGAGAGAGCTCTGACAGAAACTGCTCTTTCAAGAACAGCTGTGCCAGAACTACAGCTTGCCCAAGGCCATCCAGCCAGGTGCAAGTGGAGGAGTGGGGAATCAAACCCGGTTCTCCCAGATTAGAGTCTGCGCACTTAACCACTACACCAAACTGGCTCTCAAAGTCCTTAAGAGAAGCTGGGATTAAAGACTGACGATCAGAAGAATTCAGCAATATTACTTGGACCACCCACAATCCCAGCCATACCTGCTTCCACTGGCGATAGGTAGAGAATTCCTGGGAAGGGATAAAGAGGCTCAGTCTGAAGCTGTCAGGCAGCCCCTTCGATTCAAAGTACTCGAATTCTGCCTGGGACTCACCGAAGGCGCCGAAGGCCGGCACGTAAAGGCAAAGGCAAAGCATTTTCCTCTGAGCCGCTCAGCACCGGCTTCAGGAGGCTGGGAGGAAATGCCGGGAAGTCTCATGACACATGTCTATGAGCTGTCCCTGCTCAGCTTTCATTGGCTGCCAGAGCCCTGCCCTTTTGCTTAAAAGGGAAGCCTTCTTAGCTCAAGCCCTGCCCAGACAGCCAATGAAGCCCTGGATTCTTGGCCAAGCGCATGTGAGCGGAGGCTAGATTGCACAAGGCTGTGCTTTCGTAAAAGCCTAACGTCACTTTCCCTGCCGGGCAGGGTTAACCCTCCACAGGCTCTCTGAGACTTCAGAGGTGCTCTACGCGGCAGCACACGCAACATCCAGGTCAAGATGGTGTGAAAAGCCGTGCAATTGTAAGGAGAGGACAGATCCATAGTAGATTCACCAGGGACTGCGTAACCAAGGGTACAAGCCCAGTCTGAAAGGTGCTTAGCAGCTCAGGCTGCCCTTGGAATACCTTTGAAGTGCTTTCCATTAAATACATGGGGGTGGGAGGGAGAGGCAACAGCCATTTACCCTTCAACTGAACAGAGCTGGAACATGATTTAAGACAAAACAGGGCTTACGTCAACTCAATTAATCCATGCAACACGGCTTCAGTGCCTGTGCCTCAGTGCCGAGGCAAGGTTCAGAAGATCCATTTGGGAGAATGTGTGTATGACAGTGATCTATTTCACCCATCATGGATGTATTGTGTCCTTTTCTACTATAAGAGGAAGCGAAGAAGAAGAGATTGGATTTATACCCCGCCCTTCACAGCCCAAAGGTGTCTCAGAGCGGCTTACAAACTCCATTCCCTTCCCCACAACAGACACCCTGTGAGGTAGGCAGGGCTGAGAGAGCTCTTGACAGAAACGGCTCTTTTTCAAGGACAGCTCTTATCAGAACTATGGCTTGGCCAAGGTCATCCAGCCAGGTGCAAGTGGAGGAGTGGGGAATCAAACCCGGTTCTCCCAAATTAGAGTCTGCGCACTTAACCACTACACCAAACTGGCTCTCAGTGAAAAGAAT